ATGTAAGGCAAGTGTTCTACCCCTCACCTACTTCCCTAGTCCCATATTTGCATTTTTACTTATTTTATTTTTTGTATATATATATTTTGGTACTAGGGATCGAACTCGGGTCCTTGCACTTGCGCAGCAGGCAGCGAAACCACTGAGCTAAATCCCTGGCCCCTAGAATGGAAATATTTACCTGGTGCCATTGTATATCGGGAATAGGTAATTTATTTTTTCTATTTTCCAGAAATTTAGAGCTAAGAATTTACCTTGAGTGTCAGAGGGAATTTGGAATCTGCCTTTTGAGCAACGCTGAAATTCTTAAGACTTTGGAAGAAGAGATTACTGTGTTTTCAGTTGTATAGAAGATAGCTATGTTAGGCAGAATTACTACTTGTTAATGTGTTTATCTGCATATTAAATATGCTTTAAGGAGATTTATTTGGATGTTACATTTACAGGGGGTGAGATATAACAGTTAAGGTTAATTTTCAATTTGATTGGCTTGGGAGCAATCTAAGGGATTAGTAGAGCACACTTATATATGTGTCTGGGCGGGTCATGGAAGTGTGACCTTGGGTAATACACCTGGTCACTGGCCCCTTCCTCTCTGGCACTGATCCTTTGCTCTCCTTCCTAGCCACCATGAACTGAATGGCTTTGCTCTACCATGCTCTTCCACCATGATGTTTCTTCCTTGGAGCCAGCAGACCAAAGACTGAAGCCTCTGAAACTATGAGCAAAACAAACCATTTCCACCTTTAAATTGTGTGTGCCAAGCATTTGGTCCCAACAACAGCAAAACTGTCTAGAGGGCTGGAAATTTATATCAGTAGCACCACACCTGTCTAGCAAGCACAAGGTCCTGAGTTCAATCCCTGGTACCAGGGCGGGGGGGAAACTAACATAGTGGGGTTTTATTATAGTTTTATTTTCCAGAAAAGACAATGAATAATAATTCTCTGTATTTTCTTAAGCTTTATCTCATGTTCCAAAGGAGAAAATGTCAATTCACCTGGACTCTTGGAAATCTCAAGTCTGTTTCTACCTTGAATCCCTCAATCTTTGCAAATACTTCCATGATACACATAACCACTGCACTGAAATTATTTATGTACTTATCTCTCTCCTCTATTCATCTAAAACAATAGTTATAAATCAAATGTCTGTAGGACTTAGATAACAAATGAATCATTTTGCTGCCAAATATAAATATATTCTTCACTTTTACACAGGTATAATGCTGCCCTTCCCTTCTTGACACGTATCTTCTGCCTTTCTACTACCTTTTTTCTTTGAAGTTTTGATAGAATATAAAAGGAGAAAAATAACCTTCACTTTCCTCTCAAAGAAAAAAGTTCAAGATCAATAACAGATCTTAAGTGGCATAAAATTCAGTGTCAAGAATTAGAAGGAAAAATGAAGGCATACTACATTAAGGGAATAACTGAGTATTACTCACCTCTAGGCTATGGTACCTATGACTGTCCTCTGGGAAGTTTACTAGGTTTCTAGTTTTTTAAAGGGACCTAAAAACCTGGGTTTTAATATGAAATTTCTCAATTTTTCATTTTGGCAACTCATTCAGAAATCTTTAAAGAAACTGTATAAGTCAAACAAAGCAAATCAGCCCAGGTAATTTGTTCAGTCCAAAAAGACTACCATTTTTCAACCTCTAATCTAAGCTCTAAAACATCATCACCTTTATACTACAAGCCCCATGTTCATTACACCTAGAAATAATTAGCTGAATTCTTAAAAAATATTGGCAAATAACAGATGGATTTTGCAACCAAACTAAAAATTATATTTTTATTTGTATACAGACAGCAACCTTTTTGGATCTCCATTTACCTGCTTATAATGCTAATGAAAATAATACAATTATATATTTTCTAATTTAAATTATAAATGTAAATATAAATATTTAACACCACTTCCTATGAACTAATTTATTCATTTCTTTTTACTCTTCTGAAGATGTCCTTAATTATATCACTCCTTCTTTAACTCCCTCTCCATTTTAATTTGTTTCTCTTTCTAATAAAATAACCTCATGGGCTGGTTCTCTTGTTTTGTGTTCATCTGTTCTTTTCCACCATATCTCAGGTTTGAAAATCACATAACCAAGCTACACCAATCATGGAGAAATTTCAAATTATTAATAACATTTTAATTTCTGATTAAGGAATAATCTAAAAATTATAATTTACAAAAAAGATTACATTGTTAACAGAAACAAATTCCTAGAATTAAAATTATCAAGAAAATGATGACGCATGAACTATGAAGTACAGTACATACCAAATGATACTGTCCAATATTTTAGAAAACAATGTAAATGGGAAAAATAAAAATCTGATAAGAGCTCAATTTAAACCATTTCTCTAAGAAGCCAAAAATTATAGTGTAACAATGGTCTTTTGTACTTTGAAAACTTAGCAGTTTACTTTTTGTCAGATCATTTTATTAGTACATGTTTGTTGTACATAATGTTTACATTCCTTGTGGGGAATTGGTACAGTTACATAATACATCTTAATTCTTTTTTTCCTCCCTTTTTCCTTCCCTCCCTCCTCGCTCCACCCACCTCTTGGATCCCCTTCCTTTTTGGAAGGTGTATGTTTATAGTACATGTTTACAATTCTCATGTGGAGCTGGTACATGAACATAATACATCTTAATTCTTATATTCCCCTTTTCCTCCCCTTCTTCTATTTATTTATTTGTACTAAAAATTCTACTTAAGTTTAATACTATAGCAAGAAGGTACAATTTAATGAGGTTTACGTTTACATTCTTACTTTACTAAATGAAAACAAACTGTTCAATAAGAAGAAAAGGTGAGAAATTCAAGATGGTTATACAGGGTGCTAAATTTTTTTGAAATAATTGATAATGTGGGGTTTTTTTTGCGGGGGGAGGTTTTTTTGGTACCAGGGATCGAACTGGGGTCCTTGTGCTTGCAAGGCAAGCGACGGAACCACTGAGCTAAATCCCCGGCCCTGATAATGTTTTTAATTAATCTTTGTCACAAAGGAAACCACACAGTTATTTAAAGATTCTCAGGTACCACTTTCCAAGCAATGAAATAAATAAATGTATACAATATATATCTATTATATATATCTTGAATTTCTCACATTTTCCTCTTATTGAATAATTTGTTTTCATTTAGTGAAATAAGAATATAACATAAACCCACATAACTTTATATTATATAACCTTATATAATATAAAGTTAACATATATCCATAAATGTAGCTAAAAACAGAAAATTATCTTAAATATATGGTAAATGAAAAGCAAACTGTTATATGAAATATTCAACATTTATTTATAACCTTCAACCTTACCAAAAATATAAAGTAAACCAATTAACATTAAAAGAGGAAAAAAAGAAAAATTCAATGCCATTTCCAAGTACAAGCTAAAGATGAAAAACATTTAAAATCTCATTTTCATAGCATACCTGTGGGCATCAGTTGGCGACAGCACCAAAGTATTATCTTCTCCAGGAGAAGGTTTCCATGATTCACTTAATTTGTGTTCACTTGTCCCCAGCTCACCCATTACCCAGTCAGGTAATCTCTCTGGACTTGAACCTTTTTTACATGCTGGATTTGGCTCATCAAAGTAGATGGACTGATTTTTAAAAATTGGAGAAATTATTCTTTCAAAATGTACTATAAACAAACACTCAAAATTTCCATAAAGTTACAAGTCTGATAACAGTTATTTCAAGTACTCAGTTTAAATTCAATTACATCTAAATCTATAAAAATACATTACTCGATGCACAAGAAATTATGAAATATTAAAATAAAATGGATAACATTTATATTTTAGTTATGTTCTACTAAATTCTGGTAAACAATGAAATTAATAACAAATTTGATATTTATTTGTGTAACAAAGGCATATTAACTTTATAAACAGTTAAAGGGAAAATTTTAAAAAATCATATGCTACCCTATTTCTTTCTGTGACCGTTACCAACTTTGGATCACAGACACACACACACACACACACACACAAATCAGTGGGCAAAGAAACTACAATCAATACAAATCAGAAAGCAAAATTAGGAATTGCTTGATGAGGTGGGAAAAACAGAGCAAGAGACCTGGGATTTAGCTCTTGACATACTATTAACTGGCTCAAATACCCAAGACAGATCTCTAGGCCTTCTCATTATTATTATTCATAAAATACAGTCTTCCCCTATGACTATAAAATTGAGTATGTTTCATAAAATGTTCTACATTAGTCCATTTATTTCTCTTCAAATCAGCCAGGATGCACACCACAATTCTGAAAAAAACTACACTGATTGGACACTTGTATAACCATTCTCCCAAGCCTATAAAGAAAATTTTTAAGGGCTATTCTCTAGGAGGGGTGATACATGACTCTCTATCCCAAATCAGAAATGCATAGCAATCTCTTTTTAAGTGAGATATAGTATCATCCATTACCCAGTTTCATTTTTCATGGTTGTAGCTATCTGTAGTCAAATGTGGCCCAAAAATATTAAATGAAAAACAATATTAAATAAATTAAATATTAAATAAAATTTAAATAAAAATAAACACGCTTTTAATTGCATTTAATTGAGTCATGTGATGAAATCCTGTTCCATCTATTCCACTATGGCCCATCAAGTGTATTCACATTCTTTATACTTCCTGCCCATTCATCACTTAGAAGCTGTCAGTTATCAGTCAGTACATACAGTATAAAAGATTTGTTAACATCTGATTTCAGGCATCCACTGAGGGGCAGGTTTTGGCTAAAGGGGAACTAAGGGGGAACTACTGTAGTCACTGCATTGTCTAATCAAGCAGCAAGTTAAATAACTACCATATTACCCCAAATACTACTAATCTTAATTTAGGCAAAATGTATGGCTCTACTCTAATATATTATGGATAATAACATTAAAATTTCTGGCATTCTACCATTAACAACAAGAATTATCCTCTAATGTGCAGCATCCCATGTGACTAAATTTTGTTTTATGGTAAACTGATGAAATACAGAAAAATGTTGCAATATACTACATAAGAATTTTGCAGTTCAGCGAATGCCAATATCTAGTTTTCCAGTCATATTTCTCAAGTATTCAAATTCCACACAAACCAAGGTACATTTTAAGGTTCAAAGGAACCTAAGATTTAAGATTTATGAGGAACAGGGCAGTGACAACCTATCAATCAAGCATATATCTGCCTTGCAACAAAGCTGATTATAGTAATGAAATTAAATGGAGTATACAAAATCACTTTTAAACTCCAATTTATTATTGTCATTAGAGTGAAAAGAAACATAAAAGTCATTCAATGTAACCACTCATAAATTATAAAATAATTCATATGAAAGTTTAATAAACTAGAATTCATGATACATAAAATGTTACTATTATAACTCATTAAAAATAAAATTAAAGCTCAAAATCGAAATTTTCTTTTTATAAAAATAATACAGAATAAAACTGAATAAACCAATAAGGATATTCCTCGTCTAGGCTAATGTCTGTTTTCAATGAAAGCGTAAAAATTAAATGAGAAAAAAAAATTAGTGTTAATGAATGTGTTATCTAACACATATAACTCAATAATATCACCATTCCCTATAGGAATAATAAGTTAACTTCACTTGTAAAGAAACGAAACTAATATACTTGCAGTCAGTGATACCTACCATGTATGAAGGTAACATCTTCAGTGTCCCTGGTTCAGGACGATGTGTAAAAGGGCCTTCAAGTACTCCCCGCTTAAGCATATGCAGTAACAATTTCGCATACAGGTTCCGATTGTTCCTGCCCATTATTCCTGTACCTGTTCCTGAAGGCTCACACAGCTTTCTAATCCAAAGAGCACACCTCTGCCGTTCTATGAACACATAAGAACTATTACAAATTTGATTTTTCAGAAAATAAAATATTTAAATACAAACAATAAAAGTATTTGCCTTAAAATAGAACAAGGATGAGCAAAGTTTTGTAAATATTCTAGGCTTTGTAGGCCATGTGATCTACGGTGCATCTACTCTACTCAACCACTGCACCATGAAAGCAGTTACTGACCATAAGTAAATAAATGGCATTATGGACTAGAGTTGGCCCATGGGTCACAAACACCTAGTCTAGAATTTAATCTTATTAGTTAACTGGCAGTTGGGCAAGAGAAAGACCAAAAAATATATGTATTAACAAAAATAAAATTTTTGGATAACTATCAAATTTCTGACATAAAATTCTGCTATAATTTTGCATTTGTACAAAACTTTACATATATTGAAATACTTTTCTATAGTTCTAACTATGTAAGGACAGAAGGAGATAAAATGCAACCTCTGAATTATCAAACATTTTATACTTACTTCAAGATTAAGTTCAAATATTTTCTTTATGAAAGTCAATAATTTCCAGGGATTTGTAGATGATTTATTTAGGGCTTTCCTTTAACATCTCTAAAAATAATTCAGTGCTATTTACATGTACTTTCATTAAATATTATTCTTTTAAAAATCTACCTAAAAATACAGCACAGTTTAATCCACACATAATGATCCACTGACTTTATTATCCATGACATAAAATTGTTTTAGGTCTTATGCTAACTACTCTGATATTTATTTTTTATCAGTCTACCTCAACATAAACCATAAGTCTGCTTTAATCTCTTACAAAGGTCATATTAATTTATTGTTTTATCTGTAAAAATCACTAAAGCTGGATTTACCACTTTGCAAGTCTCACTACGTTTATGAGAGATATGCCTCTAAAAAACATTGGGAATTTTTGCTTTGAAATTTATATGGCCATAAAACAAACTTCATTAAAGAGTGGATATACTTTTTTACAAAAAGAAAACACAAAAGTGAAACTGATGAACTCAAGTAGTTTTTCAAACTGTGCTTTCTACATGTCCTGTAGCAAACTGAAATCTATATAATAATCTGTTACCCAGAATGTAGTATTCTTGGCTAATGAAAATAATTTAGTCCTATAATTAAAATGAATGAAAAAAACACTATTAAAAGTAGAATTTAGGGCTGGGGATTTAGCTCAGTGGTTTCACCACCTGCTGCACAAGCACAAGGACCCAAGTTCGATCCCCAGTACCAAAAAAAAAAAGTAGAATTTAGGGCCGGGGATTTAGCTCAGTGGTTCTGGCACCTTCCTCAAAAACACAAGGTCCCAAGTTCAATCCCTGATACCAAAAAAAAAGAAAAAGAAAAAAAGTAGAATTTAGCTATAAAAACAGGTAATTTACAAATTTCTAGCTCTTGAGTGGGATGTGAGTTCCCACATGGTATGAACCACCGGTTATAATAATCAATTGTAGGGCCAGGGATTTAGCTCAGTGGTTCCAGCGTCTGCCTCACAAGCACAAGGTCCTGAGTTCAATCCCCGGTACCAAAAAATAATAATATTAAATAATAATCAATTGTACCTATTTAAAATCTGTTTTTAAAAGAAGATATTTGAAATACAATTATAATAGGAAATTTTAATACAAATGTTTCTTAATTAGTAGATCTAAGACATAAAAAAGTAGTGAACATCAGAAGAGGATACAGTTCTATGTAGAAATATCATTAACTATTAATTCAAATACCCATGAATAAACTATGGGACAGGAAATGATCATTTGAAGATTAGCAGAGGAAGAAAAGAGCAAGGTCCAACATGGCAAGAGAAGAATCAGAGAAAGAGGATTCAAAAGAAGGCAAGGCCAAGCTAACCTCTGGTTGCAAGTTCTAGAACAATGAGTGACCACAGAATGCACAATTCCCATGCCACACTTCCTTCTCTCAGTGTAGCTCCTTTCTTCCCTGAAATAAATACCTAATATTGAGTCAGTTCTTTTCTGCCGAGTCCACTCAGATACCTCAGGGAAACAGAGAACTTGGAAAAGGTAAAAATTATAATTTCTTGGCCCCATTCCAAACGCTCTACTCAGTAACCAAGCCATATCTACCTATATAGTCAGCCATATACCTACTACAAAGTATAGACTCTCCCTGACCCCCAACATTCTCTCCAATTGCTCTCTGATGCCTTAAATTATCAGAAAATTCTCTACCTTGAGACAAAGATTCTTATTCCAACGTTAGAACTAATAGGTCAGGACCTAGAGAAGCAATAAAAACAAAAAACTCATTCACATTTGATGTTATTCAATCACTAATCATAAAAGACGAATAGATTTTTTCTGCTTTGATAAACGAAAAGGTCAGAGAGTATGTGAACAGTACTCTCCTGAAACAGAAGACATTTCCACAGAAGGAAGGAAAAATGGAGTATCTAACTTTAAAGGCAGGTCTATGTGCTACAAACTGCTGGCATTTGAGAGGTGGGTACCCCAATAAGATCTTTCCACTGCTTAAAGGACTTCCACTAAATTTTTATCTTCCCTTGAGAAACTCAAAGAAAAGAATCCTATGTCAATGGGTAAAAAAAAAAAAAACTACTAAAGGATTTCAGCTTTCTTTCCATTTTGACAGTTTACTGGATTATTTTTAAAATAGTAACCTTAAGAACCCAGTTTTCAAATACAATCTTACCTGACCTATGGGGTAATTTTAGAACAAAGGGCTTCATATCTACCACAAAGTGATCAAATTCTGCATCCAGCTTTTCCCATTTTTCTTCTTCACTTCCCATTTCCAATCTATAAAAGATACAAAATTAAATATGAAGGATCTGTATGCTGAAAATTACAAAACTCTAATGAAAGAGATCAAAGAAATCACATCAATTAAATATCAATTCTCCCCAATAGACCTCTAATTTAATGCATTCTAATCAAAATCCAAAAGTATCCTTTGAAGGCTGATTCTGAAATTTATTTAGAAAGGTAAAGGAACCAGAGTAGCTGAAAAAAATATTGAAAAAGAATAAATTTAGCGGATTCACAGTACCTGATTTTAAGATGTACCATAAAGCTACAGAAGTCAAGACAATGTAGGTTTTTTTATGAAAAGATAGATAACAAAGATCAATGGAGCACACATAGAGTCCAGAAATGGACCAATACATAAATATCTGATTCTCAGTGAAGGTATAATTCATGGAGAAATGAATGTTTTTACAACATATGCAACACATGCAAAAAAAAATTAATCCTCAACCTAAACTTCATACTATATATAAATACTCAAAATGAATGGTGGGCCAAGTGAAAATATAAAACTATAAAATTTTTAGAAGAAAATACAGGAAAAAATCTTTATGCTTTATGATTTTAAGACAAAGATTTCTTGTATACTACACTAAAAGTACTATCGATTAAAGAAAACAACTGATGTACACTGTCGGACTTTACCCAAAAGGAAAAAGATATTTTGATCTGCTGAAATGGACTCTGCTAAAGGATTGAAAAGATAAACAACAGACTGGGGCAAAATATTTTCAAGTTTTACATCTCATAAAGAACTTACATTCTTTCCTTTCCCCCACTCCCCTCTCTACTTCCCCTTCCTTTTTGGACCATTTCTTCCTATTTTACATTATCTATTATACATTTTGGACCTCATTTACTCTTGCAATTTCTAACACCAGAGAAACTATTCAGTATTTACACGTGTGTCCTATTTATTTCACTTAAAGAGTATGGCCTCAATGTGCATCCATTTAGCTATAAATGCCTCTAGTTTATTATTCTTTATGGCTGAGTAGTAATTCATTTTATAAAAAAAACCACATCTCCTTTATCCAGTCACCAGTTGATGGGCATTTGGGCTGTTTCCAAGATTTAGGGGTGGGGAAAAGGAAAGATGGGAAGGAAAAATATGAAAAAAGAAGGAAAAAACGGAAACAAAGTTTTTGTAAATAGGGTGGGTGCAGGGGTGGAAGGGAAAGAAGGGAAATGGGGCCAAAACAAGCACCAAGGTATAACATGTACAGGTGCAAATTCCAAATGATGAATGTGATCATAATGTATACCTAAAATGTACCAATAAACTTAATGGAATTTAAAAAAAGAACTTACATCAAGAAAATATGAAAAACTTAAAATTTAACCACAAGAAAACAAACAACTCAATAAAAATAAGTGTCAAAAATTTTATGCCTGATTGACAATTGTTTCAACATAGCTAGAAAAGAGATAATTTTTTTTTTGGTACTGGGGATTGAACTCAGGTCCTTGCGCTTACGCAGAAGAGATACTTTTGAAAGTTCCCAATACAAAGGAGAGATACATATCCAAGGTGACAGATACAGCAATTATCCTGATCTGATCATTACATATTATACACATTTTTTGAAATGTCACATGGCATCTAATAAATATGTACATTTACTAGGCATCAATTAAAAATTTTATAACTTTTAAAAAATCAATTCCTGTACTAAAGAAGAAATATAAATAATGGCAAATAAGCACACAAAAAGATGCTTAACACCATTAATCACTATGAAAATACAAATGAAAACCATAATGAAATACCACAACAACACAGCAGTATAACTAAAGAATGCAAACAACACCAAATGTTGGTGAGGCCACAGAACAAAAGGAACTCTCATACCTTGCTGGTAGGAATGTAAAATGATACAGCCACTCTGGAAAATACCAAATTTCTTATGTTAAAAATATATCCAATTTCACTGCCTTTTATTGGAATATTCAGGGTTTTTAAATCTTCTTGCTTCAGTTCTGATAATTTATATGTATTGTGTAGGAATTCATCCATTCCTTCTGGATTCTCCAACTTACTAGAGTAGAGCTTGTCAAATTAGTTACTAATAATCTTCTGGATTTCAGCAGTTCCCACTGTGATTCATCCTTTTTCGTTTCTAACTGCACTGATCGGAGTCTTTACTATTCTTTTCTTGGTAAGATTGGCTAAGAGTTTGTCTATTTTGTTTATTCTTTAAAAAAAAAAACAGCTGCTTGATTCATTGATTCTTTCTATAGTTTTTTAGTCTCAATTTTATTAATTTCTGCTCTTATCTTTATAATTTCCTTCCTTGTACTAACTTTGGATTAAAAACCCAAAATAAAAGATAGATAATAGGAAACGGGGAGATAGATCTTTTGCAAAAGGGAAAGGGACAGGGTTGGGGATGTAGCTCAGTAGGGCAGCACCTGCCTGGCACGCTTAAGGACCTGAGTTCGATTCCCAGTACTGAAAAAAAAAGAAAGGGAAGGGTACCAACAGATAAAGGAAAGAGAAAGGAAAGGGGAAGGGGATTAAAAATAAAAAGAATTAAGATGTGTTATGTACATGCACCAACTCTCTACAAGGAATGTAACAATTATGTACTTCAAACATGCACCAATAAAAATAAAAATTTAATAAAATAAAAATATATTTACATTCTACATGTTCCTCTGAATTGTTAAAAATCTTTGTAAGGATGTGCACTACCTTTACATGACACATAATGCCTCATTTGTCACATTTTCAATTTACAAATTACACATTTGGGAGAAAGCTCTCTCGGCCTCATAAGCTACCTTGTTCCACAGACTGCCCTCTCTCTCTTAAACCAGCTTCTAATATTCACCACAGTATCTGCCATTTTATTATCAACAACCTCTTCCAGGAACGTCTCCCCATCTTGTCCCCATAAGTAAACCCTAGCTTTTACTGGCTGACTTTACTTCCCTCACAGTCATGAGAGTGAACTAGGTCTCTCATTGTCATAAATATGCACTCCATGTAGTCTTTCATTTCTTTCATCCAGCCTTGCCCAGGAAGGAAAGCACTGGTGGAGATCCATACTGCCACTTCCCATGTACTGCTCTTCCAACCTCAACCCCCAAATTCCCCCCTTACAAGGCTCCAACCATATGACTATAGCACTAAAAGATATACTCCCCATGACTGTCATAAATAAACCCCTCTACCTCATAACAGCCCCTTAGCTTCTTTCTCTTTTCTGTGTCTCTGCCTCTCAGTCTCTATCTCCTTATTTCACTAGATCCTTGCTTTCTACTCAGCAAGATTGTGATCCCTTGATATCCTCTTTGTTCTCTATCCTAGGGGCTGCTGGAGAGATGGCACTGCCTTGGAGCCAGATAACTTCTGATGTTACCAGAACCCGCAGAAATCTTTTACTATCTCCTACTCTGCAAAGCAACTTTTAAAACTTTTACATGATAACTTACAGTACCTTAAATAACTCTAACCTCTCTTCTCAAATTTTAAAGATCTTACCACTTGCTTCATGGAAAAAAATATCTTGTGTCTTAGTTACTTTCTTGCTGTTGGGACAAAATACCCAACACCCACAAATTAAAGAAGGAAAGGTTTATTTTAGCTCAGTTTGTAGAGGTTTCAGTCTATAGTTGACTGGCTCTAAGGGAGGGCATAACAGCAGAGGGACATGGCAGAGGATACTTGCTACTTGGTGTAGCATGGCAGGCAGGAAGCAATGAGACTTCCCTCTTCTTTCTCTTTTTATTCCATCAAGGCTACAAGCCTATTCACTAATGCCACCCACACCCAAGGTAGGTCTTCTCTCTTCAGAAAATCCATCATCCAATGCCCAGAGTGATCCTAAACCAATCAGTGTACTAATCCAGTATCACACACCCATGATCCAGTCACCTCTCAAAAGGCCCACATATAAGCACATGAGGCTTTAGGAGAATATCTAGGAATAACCCATAACATTTGGTAATACTCCTATTAAAATAATACTTCCCCCACCTCCACAATTACCCTTTAGAGAAGACATCTTACCTCCTTTGCTCCTGAATCAAAAGCAGCAGCAACTCTCTCTAAGGACAGTACCTCCTCCTAACATCTATCAATTATCAATGATATCCTCCCTGTACAAAATACTCTACAGCCACTGACTCCCCCTGTGATACCAGCCCTCATTTAAGACTTTCATTCACCAGTCCACTCTTAATTTCTACACTTCCATTACTGCCATGCTACCCAAAATCTTCTTTCAAGGTTCACCAATGATCCACTAATTGCTAAATTCAAAGGATTATCTTCAGCTTGCATCCTACTTGACATCTCCTCGGCATCTTATACTTCTTATATCTCGCTACTCCTAGAAACTCTTTGACTTCAGTAGTTCCATTCACTCCTCGGTCTCCTGCTACCTCACAGATCATTCCTTCTTGGTCTCTAAATGGCTCTTGCTTCTCTGCCCAATATTAAATCAGAATTCTCCAGGGCTTTCTCTTTAGTCTCCTTTTAATCTGACTTTTCACATTCTCCCTGGGCAATCACATTCAGTAGGATAACTTCCAGTATTCTCCTCACGCCATTTACCCTTAAATTTTAATTCTAACTCAATTCTCTCTCTCTCTCCAACTCCAGGCTCCCACTTACAACAGCCATCTAGACCTATTCAGTAATGTCCTGCTTGTTACCTAGTTTTACCTGTTTCAAGGAAAATTCTTCATGATTTTCCCCATACACCTATTCAATACATGATATACTGTGCTTAAAAGCATCAGCAACTGTTCATTCCCCACACTAGAAGTTTCAATAATGTCATTCTCTAAACTTCCATAAACCAAGAATACTCAGAAGGGTCTGGGGATTTAGCTCAGTGGTGCCGCCGCCTGCCTTGAAAGCGCAAGGTTCTGAGTTCAATCTCCAGTACAAAAGAAAAAAAAGTACTCAGAAATGTCTCTAATACCCCAGTTTCTCTAGTCTCAATGCCACTATCTCAGATAAAACACTGCCAACCACTTATTCACACTATTGCAACAGATCATGATCTTCTCCCAATGGTCCTTTTCTTCACTTGAGACAAGAGCTAAGCCTATCACTCATTTTTTAAAAAATCTCTCTTAACTGTCTACTACAAAATGCTACCCAAACCAAAAAGTTGGACATGCAAGTGTATTTGGATTTAGGCCTACCTCTTACCACACACACACTTTACCTAAATACACCGACCCACCAATGGCCACTTCACTCTGTCATAATGAACCGCTCAAGTTTCTTCAAATATTCCAAGTCCCTCTCTGATCCCACTCACTTTGTACAGACTGTTCCCACTGCCTGGAGTCAGGTAAATGCAGCTCAAGTGTCACTTCTCAGTGAAGCTGGCCCAATTTACCCAAGACTGATTGTCACTGGATTCTCACAGTAAACTGCTCACTTTTGTGTGGCAGCATTTATCATGCTGTTACTTTTTGTACACATATGTATACTATTTACCTGTCTTCTACCTTTTGAGATACTCCTGGAGGGCAGGGATCAAGATTTACACATCTTAGTAGGTACTCAACATATCATGTTGTACATATTAGGAGTGGTGGAACTGATTACTAAATAAAATTAATATTCCATTTTTACAGGCTATTTTTTAATGCTCTGTTCTGAATAAGAAATAGGTCTTCCAAAATAAGAACACTATATGCCCCTAATTTCATTTCCCAAAATTGCTCATCCTATCTTCTGCATTTCAGTAGAAGAAATACAATTTCAAGTTCAAGAATTGGTTAAAATAAATTTTATTTAGGATTAGGGACGTAGCACAGTGGTAGAACGCTTGCCTAGTACGTGAAAGGGCCTGAGTTCATTCCTCAGCACCACAAAAATAAATACATAAAAAAATAAATAAATTTGCTGATTACTTTATTGGTTTTGTGTGGTGTGTGTGTGTGTGTGTGTGTGTGTGTGTGTGGGTGGGTGGGTGTGTGTGTGTGTGGCCAGTTGGTTTCCTTTTACATTCTTACAATATATTCTATTATTCTGTTAACTATGTTCTTGGTGAAAGAAGGCAATCACTACAGATAATACCACTGGATGTTCGTCATAAAGCTGAAAAGCAATTCTTCAAATGGATAAACAAATCCAGCATTGTGGAAGATGTACTTCCAGGCATAACCAGTGCATCCTGCCCATGTAAACAAACATTTGCCCAAAAGCATCACAAACTATGCAAGTATGCTGGCATGCTAGGCCAGTGCTGTATCATTGAGCTACATTCCCAGCCTCTTTTTTACTTTTAGATTAAATCACTTCCTAATCACTAATTCTGAATAAATCCTTTGACACCAGCTGGAAATGTTAGTGGTTAATGTTAAGAAAATAAAACTCAACAGTTAAATAACAGCAAATTATAAAATTAAGCACCAAACTCAGACTAAAATACTGAAAGCTCTTGCTCTTAGATCCATATCTGACCACTCAGTCAAAAGTGTGGAACATCTCCAACTTATTTACAAATACTTTAAAAAGTAGAAAAGCAATTTGAATTGCTATAATGACATGAAATACTGGAGTACCCATTTTTTTAAAAAACAAAACAAAAAGTCAGAATGTTATTTAATAAAAGCTAAAAATCTGTTTCCCCTTATCCCTATTCATTCAACAAAATAAATGGGGGAAAGTAACAGAAAAAGGTAGTATTTCAAGTCTTCAAAAAATTCCTGCAACACAAATTACACCTTACACGCAAATTATATCCAGCTAGTCAAAAAGTCTTACCACAACTGCAGATTTAAATGATTAATTTTTTAAAAGTAAGTAAAGTTACATCTTTGGCTTATAGTTTCTCAACTAGCAATATAAATTATAGTTTGGCCACTAATTATATAAATTACTTCAAAAGTAAAAAAAGGTTGGGGATGTAGCTCAGTGATGTAGCACTTGCATTACATGTGTGAAGCACTGGGCTCAATCCCCGGTACAGGGAAAAAAATGTATATAAAAGAAGCAAATTGGGTGGCTCTTGCTTATATCTATAACCTATTTTTTCTTGGATCGTGTCTTTTATTAGATTCCTTGGTATCCTCTTCTTTAAAACTTGTTTCTTTATAGACAGTTATAAAATGGGCTAAGACCTTTTCACGGTGTTTTGCTACTACAGGAGTCAGAAAACACAAACCAGCCACAAATATTAAAAGCCCTTGAAAAAAAGTGGGCACTGCTAAGCCAAGAATACATACGATGGGGCTGGAGATTTAGCTCAGTGGTTCCGGCGTCTGCCGCGCAAGCGCAAGGTCCTGAGTTCGAGCCCCGATAGCAAAAGAAAAAACGAATACATACGATGCCCTTTGTCAAACACAAGAAACATGTCTCTGAGTATTGTGTAAAAACCATTTTGTTCCATTAAATCATAAAGAAAACTGAAATATCAAAAAAATCCAGTAGGTATACAGGTACATATTTTCTCTGGCTTACAAGCGTGGATGTTTTGACACAGCCTTCCTTAATTTCCACCACGGCTGTGCGCTTTGGGGAGGTATCCCAGTGGATTCTCCTGCACACCCTACCAGATAGGCACTACTTCCACTGCCACTTCACCGATGGGGAAGCTGAGGTTTAGCGGGAATAAAGTAACCGACCCAGGGTCCCGCGAGAAGTCTGCTGGACCTGAACAATGTTCACGACTCAGCCTGGAGTCTGACCACTGTGGAGAAGCTCGTGGCTTTTCACGTGACTTTTCTTACTTTCACTCATAAATAGTAACGACAAATAATAAAAACTGCTGCGCAATGATAAGAATAAGTAATGTTCAAATTTACGGATGTTATCCAGAATACTTTAAAAAAAAACCTAACTCAGAAACACTGTGTGTCTTCCAACAGGCCGTGAAGCTGGGATAGGGCCTTTGCCAGTGGGCTGCTTATTAGGACAGTTTCTACCAACAGGCAGTCTAAGCCACTGACCGATGAGGGAGGGGTGTGGGAACTCCAGAGGCCCCTCTCGTCACCTCCCCGGCCACCTGGGCACCGGGAGAGGGCGGCGGCCGAGGCCAGGGTCGCCCGCACCCCTACCCTGTCCAGGACACAGGTTTCTCCTCACCACCCCGGGGTCAGACTTCTGGCCCATGTCACGCTGACCATTCCCACGGCCACTTAAACTTTCCCTAGAACTTTCCGAGCCGCGCCCGCCGGATCTCCACTCTGCAGGAGCCTGGGGGCGCGCGCCCCACAGACCGGAGAACGGTCCCGGGGCCCGCGGGCAACGCCCCGCCCCGAACGAGGGCGGGGCAGCTGCCCCCGCGCAAAATTCCACTCGGAACCCGGGGAGGGACAGAAAGGGGTTAAAACCAGAAATGAGAACCTGGCGCCCCTACACGCAAGCCTTCCGCTCTGCCGCCGACGCCCCCGACGCCCCCGACGCCAACGCCGCCAAACGGTTTCAAATCCTTGCGGCCAGCTAGGTCGCCACCGCCCAGCAGGCCGAGGGCGGGGACTCCCGGCTCACATTCCCCGCCCTCTGCCCCACCCCTCCGGCGGCGGCGGATGCTGAGCGCCGTTGCCGTGGCGACGCTACCAGCTGCTCCTACCATCACCCCCTCCCCCCACCTTCCATGGACGCTAAAATTTCCGCCCTCACATTTGCCGGTCCTATGGCTGACTGCGCGCTGCGGAGTTGTCATGGCGACGCCCGGCGTAGCGTCTAGCCCAGCTGCGCTGGCTGGGTGCGGAGACTTCCGATCCGGCATTTCCCCGCCCTCCTAGCAGCCGCGTGCGCAGGACGCCATTGCCGTAGCAACGCTCCAGCCCACTGCCCGGCGCTGCGGGTGCTCACTAGAACCCGCCTCTCAGCCCGCCTGGGTCGAATCACCCGAGATTGGACACTGCACCCCCTGGCATCGTGCTGAACAGTTTAGGAATACTTTAGGGGTCGTGGTGGGAAAAAAATAATTAAAGGACAAGGAAAATGTGATTGCTGGAGAGCGTTCACAGAAAGGTATGTCCATTTTCCATTATTTTGGAATATATTTCCATATATTCAACATCGCCGTTGAAGAACTCTAAACAAGTGAAAATTACCCCTGATATCTCATAACCCAAAGTAAAGGAAGATATAGTCTGAGGGAAAAAAATCCTGACCCCAAATTTTGAAGATCCTGAAATAAAATACGCACGCCCGTAATCCCAGCTACGCGGAAGGCTGACTGGGCAACTTTGCGTGTCTGAAAACCCTGCGTGTCTCAAAATAAAAAAGACTGGAGATGTAGCTCGGCGTTTCCTGGGTTCAAGCCCCAATGGAGAGGAGGTCGCTCTCTGTTTCCCAATTGTGTAAATTCTGTCAAGAATAGTAACATCAAGTCGATAAAGAATTTACGCTCTTCCCAAGAAGTCGCATTCACCTCATCAGTTTCCATGTCTGCATTACTGTGTTGTAGTATTCTTCGGTTTCTTTTACCTTTCTAGAAGCTCTGACTATATTTTTAAATAGCAAGCAGAAACAATTTAAATTGTAAAAACACTAAAATGAAATTCAGTTTACTACTGTTTTTCATCTAATTTCTCAGGATTCCTTCTACAAAATCTGTAATACACTCACTGTGTATTACAAACCTAACATTAAGCACAGCTTGAAGCATCTTTTCAGGTTTTCATAAAAAAAAAAAAAAAAAGATTCATTCGTAACTAGTTACTTTCAAGCTTCAAGAAGGAAGTTACATTCTTTTCAAGGTGCTCTTTCAAACCTATCTCACTAGAAATAAACGCCAACAGTTCTTCATTGTTTCCAAGACAAATCATGCTATGGGGAAGAAAAAGGTTACAGAATGCTTTAAAGAATGTTCAGTTTAAAAGCATTTTTGAACATGTTTATAACTAAGGAATAATCAATAATTCAGGTCATTTGCACTGAAAATCAAGGAAGCAAAACCCAAGTATGCAATTGTAGAATGTGACTATTCAGTGTGGGTATTGCTTATTGGTCCAAGGATTAAAAATTTTAAATATGAATAATTTCAAAAACACAGCATGATGACTACAGTTAATGGCATTGTATTGTATTCTTCAAAATCCCTAAGATGGTAGAATTTTCAGTGTTATCACAAAAGTGATAAGGGTAGTGCATATGTGAACTAGGTTGATTTAGCCATTTCACAATGTATACACACTTCAAAACATAATGTTGTACACCATAATATATACAATTTGTTATCCGTTAAAGAAATAAAGATAAATAACCAGATTGCTGAAAGAACATGAAAAGAATGTGCCAAATGGTGTCTAAATAAATACGGACAGGAAAATGGTAGATGAAAAAAAGGGAGAATCAAAGGAAAACAATGTACCAAGGTCAAGTTTATCTCAGAGGAAATGAGGAAAAGAATTTTACTTCCTTAATATCTATCCTCAAATCTCTCCAAAAATAAATGTCTTGGAAATATTGACATAGACATGAAATTATGATACTCATTTTTCTCTAAAATATTTTGGAGTCAAGATTTCAACAACTTCAATGTGAATTTATCTGGTAATTATAAAGATTATGAGTAATAGTCACATTTAAAAGTAAGTACAAGACACAACAAATGTTAATGATTTTGGGTCAGTGTGGTAGATTATCAGTTAATTATTGCCACTCATCAAACATAATCTGGATTAGCTATAAGGAAAAATGAAATTTTTCTTGCTAGACTGAAATATTTGAATTGCACAGTTTTAGACTGTAAAATCTCATGTTAATATAGGAAAATTGGAAAATAATGAAAGATTTAAAGAAGAAAATAAAAATATGTGTAATCCTACCATTAAGAATAACGATTACCTTACTATTTTTATATATTTACTCAAATCTTACCACTACATTTATCACTATTTTAATATCAACTTATTCCATTATTTGAATATAATTCACTTCATAGTCTCCTATGATTATTAAATTTTACTCTTATATATAATGCCACAATAAATGCTGTTGAATAAATATCTTTGTTGAAGTTTCAGTTATCTCCATACAAGAGACTTATGCTCATAAAAAAGCATTAAGACACTCTGAGAGTCTGAAGAAGGAGGATGGCAAGCTAGAGTCCAGCCTGAGCAATTTAACAAGACAATGTCTCAACATAATAAATTTAGAAAGGATTGGGAATGTGGCTCAGTGCAAAGACCCAGGTTCAATCCCCTGTACCCTCTGCCCTCAGCTACTCGGAAGCCCAAGGAAGGATAGCAATCCTGAGGCAGGATAGCAAGTTTGAGGACAGCGAGAATCTATCTGAAAAAATAAAAGTGGGTGATAGAGTGCTTGCCAAGCATGCCTGACCCCATGGGTTCAATCCCCAGTGCCACCAAAAAAAAAAATCATTAAGTACTTTGCAAATGTATAATCCCACTCAACAGTCTTATGAATGGGTGACTCACATTAACAGTTATTTTGGTTCTGGGCTAATTGTTCATTTTAAAATAGCATATCTTTTTATTTGATATTTCCTACTACTAGAAATTTACTCTTTTTATTCTTCTAAGATATTATCTTTTGTCCTTTATTCTTTTTTGACAACTTTGACCTGAGATAGAGATATTCCTCAATTTTCAATTTATGCTTCAAAATTATCAGTGGATGTGTACCCTGTATTTATGCATAAAGCTGACATGCTAATCAAATTTTAGTCAGTACTTTCCCATTTTGCATAAAGATACTGCATCACCAGAATGAAATATATGAATGACTTAGCTATCTAGATGGAAACCAATTTATAAATACCAAGAATTGTTAGTATGTTACTATTATTATTATGAAGTTACACACTAGAGATAGCCATCAGATCAACCCTATAACCACTAAATTCATTAAGTTGGATGGGAAATGATTCAGGAGTTTCTATTTACAGACAACAGAAGTATAAATTATATCACAAATAGATCCAATAAAAAGAGAGTGGAAACCGAGGATTAAGAGGCATATTTTCTTTTCTTCACTTCTAAAAAAAAGAGTCACTGCCTTTAGCACAGTAATTCTGGATTCTTTCCTTATGCCATCACTAAGAAATAGTCACCATTCAATTGCTACTTCTGCTATATAGCCTACCTTTTTGGGGCAATTCATGCTAATGGCTAGTGGCTTTTAGTAGAGATAAACTGGTTCTTCCTCCCTCCCCTATATCTCTGTATCTCTTCATGTAGAGAGATGGACACCAAGGCCTTTTTCCCAGGAAGCAGCTTTATTCGTGCTGGCATGATTCAGTGGATTCCTATCCAAAGGCTGAGCGCCGAACATGGCTTAGGTGCACCATTTTATACAATTTTTGTGTCTTTGTCTCCCTCATATGGCTATACACCAACATTTTAAAGTCCAGTTGGTTATAAATGAACATTCTACAGTCAGATTGGGTATGATTTATGTTACAGAGTTACATCACACATGTACATAGAGGCTGATATTGCTACATTGTAAAAAGTTCCCACTCTTACACATGGATAGGGGCTCTATCACATATGCTTCAAAATTATCAATATATATCCTTAGCCAGTGCCCATACAAAGTAGCAGCCAACTACTAAGGCACTTCCCAAGCTCATCTATAAAATGATCTTTCTTATTCTAGCACAAAGCTATAAAATTCCAAATTTAGAATACAGTTATTTCCTGCAAGGCACAGGGAGACATCATAGTTTAACTAACAGTGGAAGAATACTACAAAAGATATAATTCTCAAGTTTGGGATATTTAGCTCTGTTGTTTATTAGCTGTGTAATATAACTTCTTTTTGTTACATCTTTGATCTTCAGTTTCTTTATCTTTATTATGAAAAGATTTAATTAACAGAGTTGAGATACTCTTTATGGAAAAATTTGTACCACGGCCAACATGGAAACTTCAACATCAAGTCTTCTTTCTTCTTTTGAGCACTTGGAAACATTATAAACACCACTGGGAGGCAGCAATAACACACAAAGAACTAATTATGTCACACATATTCACAGGATCATGTACAAGGGCACATGTTCACATACACAAAAAGCACATACAAACACTTTCATGCATGTGCATGCCATCCACAACACGCATATACTTACATAAGGGGCAAACATGCTCAGACACTTGCATACCACCCCCATGCATGCACTCACACAGACACACATGCACACACAGACTGACACACATGTGAATACCCCAAGCTATATTCTTTTTTCTTCTATCTTTTTTCATGCTTGGTATAGGGATTAAAGCAGGAAAAAGCTGCAGTGTCTTTCATGACTGCCTTAGGGTCACTCTCCACTATTTGGCCAGTATCTTGATTTCACAAGCAGCACTATTCAGAGTGGGAGACTACACAAGAGCATGAATACCTGCAGGCAAAAATCCCTGGAGATCATTTTAGTGACTAGATATTATACACTCAAAGGAGATTTGCTTCTAATTATGATTAAAATAAAATCAATTGATAATATATAAGCTTTGATATGAAAGGATTCCTAAGGTTG